AGTTTTGTCCTAAAGCTCGAATAACATAGCTGGACAGCGTAACTTATCACTAAAACGCCTTACAAAGCACTCTCTCTGTTTTGGCTTCTATTTTCTTCCTCTCCTCCATCTTTCTACAAAAAAGGGAGCTTTTGAGCTTGCCTGACAATGCCTAATTTTTCCAACCTGTCAATTCTATGGGCTTCAAAAGTCTCTATCAAAGGCATCTAAAAGTAATCATGCCTGGACTAAAGGTGAACCAGAAGTTGATAAGTGCCTTCACAAGCTGTAAAACGGTGTGTGAACTGCCTACGCTTTGGAGTTTACTATCGCTGCTGTTGACTTGCGGCTGAAGGTTAAACCACACCACTGTGGAGATCTTGTGCGGTTGGTGATGCAATTGTTTGGATTACGGTCAATCCACCAGCACCAGCAAGCTTCCGAGAAGGGATTGGAATTGCGCTTGAAACATTGGTCCGTATGATTGTCATCCAACTTCAATTCGCCTAGTTTATGTTGCCCTCTGCAGATTGTAACAGTTCTCTTTAGATGCGGAGTTTGGGATTGCTACAACTTGCAAAGACTCTTTCACATACTTTTTACAACGCTTCTTTCTCCAGTTTTGTGCTCGGTGTTGGGAGCGCAAGATTCTGTAATTATTTCTACCCACTTTGAGATCATTGCTGATTCTAAATTCAAATGCTCTGGGACTACTGTATAAGAACCTTTTATTACAATTTCATTGCTGAAGGTACAATTAATTTGCCCTACACAGGAGTCATCATCATCATCTCTTAAGCTCTTTATCGCCCTACTGTCTTACACATCACTTCAATGTGGTCTCAAGGCTCCACCATAAGCCCGACTTTTTACCAAGTAACTCACGGTAGAGCAAAATGAAATAATAATCTCTTAGATTTATTCCTTAATAGCTATTAAAGTGTAAGGGAAGGGCATAAACTGCCTCGTTTCCTATGAAAATCAAGAGCCATAAGTTAAGCGCGTGGCAACGTAAAATGGAAGTGCTGTTTAGACTGTCTGCAACCAGCCTCAGAATATTTTGGCCTTTCGACGAGCAACAGCGCCCACTTACTTTTTACTACCGTCTTGTCAAACTACCTTGTTGTAAATGAAACACCCTGCTGTTGCATGTGGATGAAGTTTTTTTTTTTAAATGAGATAAAGTCTTACCGGAAACGCAAGGCAAGCCTAATTACTACCATGTATTAGGGGTTGGAGATTGACAAACCAGATTTTGATTCAACTTTGCATTTTGCCTGCAACTGCCTTTGACGTCTGACTACTAACCCATACCCAAGGGTAGAACATCACCAACGTTTGTTTTACTCTTAACATCAATTAACTCAAAGGAGTGGCAGGTATGGGCTCTTTACTTCTTCTTAAGGTAGAATTCGGCTAGTTTTGAGGAATTATTTCCTAGGTGAGGTGTAAAGGAAAATTTTCTGCAGAATCTACTAAATTTTTAGGATCTGACGACAACCAAATTAGGTCCTTGTGGATGGACCCACTGCCAATGTCGATTTTGAGGTCGAAGTGCGCAGGTTCGCCGGCATGTGTTGACATATACGGGTGTGTGTGCATGTATGTGTATGTATGGGGTACACCTGAGATTGATGTTGCTGTTCTGCACCACATTGGAATTGGCATATAGACTAACCACTTTCCCCTCCTTTTTCTAACAAATTCGACCACGGTCTTCCTTTTACCTGGGAAAAGGAAACTGCTGCCGTTGCCTCCGTAAGGGAGGGTTGAGAAGAAGCGTTCCTATTGTTCTCTGCGCCTTCTTGAATGTCTGAACCAACTATTCACTTTTTGCTATTTTGACGTTTCAAGGCCCTCAATTCAGCTGTCAAGGTGTGGTCATGCAGTGCACACTGTACTACGCTTAAATTCAGGCGATGAAGCATTTGAAGGGAAAGTGAGAGGTAGTGTAATAATTTTGTGGTAAAAAAAATATGCTTGCTGCTGACTTTATTTCGCTCAAAACATTTCATCGACGAAAAGGAATCCTAGGAGTGACCAACTGTCTGTTTTACTCTGCATGTGATTGTGCAATGGTTTTGTCCTGAAAAGAGAAAGTGGTAATCCCTTGTGGCTTGGGCAAATATTATCATGGCTGACGTCCTTGCATTGGCAACTTTTCTGATCAAGTGGGGTTTGAGATCACGTTTTGGGCTGGCTTTACAGAACTGAGACTTTTCTCAAATTAATTTGCTCATTGTGGTTAGTTGGTAAGGCGAAAGAGGCGTTTTGGACCAGATTTTTGTCATAAATGTGTGATTTTGATCATGACCTTTGTTTTTTACTTAAGGACACGTAAAAGACAAGCGCTCCCATTCATATATGATTAATGCGCCGCCTAAAAGTTTTGGATGGGTAATGGACAGATCAACTTGTTAAATCGCTGAACTGGAATGCAAAAAAGACCTTTTATTCATCATAAGTCAAGAAGTAAACGAACGGGTGTGAATGGTTTCTAGGGTGACAAAAGACTTGCAGGATTGGACAGCGATTCTCCTTAAATTTCGGTGTCCGTTTGCGCCCTCCCTCCTCATCTCTATACAATAGGGAACGTCATTCCTATGACAGACAGCAAAATGTTGAATTCAAGAACTTGTAATTAATAGGCTCTTACATGAGGATACAGTTCCACCTTTGAGACATAAATCACCGGAGCCAACTTTCAGTCGGCGGGGCCTACCATGTTTAAGAACTGAGACAAATCGACATCATTTCCGTATATTTGGTGTGTTCTAAGAGCCACAATCGCTTGCACTTTACAAGTACCTTTCATGGTACATCAAATCATTACGGTCAGGTGTTTGGGCGATCTCATGCACTTTAGGGGTCACCAAAGGGCAAACAGTTTCTTTTACTTCTGTTCCATACCCGACCGTTGAAAGGTACAGCAACCTCGACTGTTTCGAATGGGCCAACTTTATCAAACCTCGGAATATGACTTTTTAAATCTCTTTATGTAACTATTCCTTCAATGGTGGCTTTTGAAGGGACAAACACTGATCTTCTTTGCCATGACCTTCTTAGTTTTACTAAGCTCCCTTCCTTTGCCCCTTGCAACTACGTGACAGATGCTATTTCCCAACCCAAGACGACTACTAATCACCTAATTAGTATTTGTCGAAATCATTGGTAATCAAAATAGCTGTGAAATATTTTTGGTTTGCTGCATTTTCCCTTCTTTGTGACATACCTGTTAGTACAACATGCCTTCTTAAGAGTTATGCCTAGAGGAATTTTCATTTCCATTGTTCGCCGCGACGTGCTAAATTTAAGGCAGTTATTTTCCCTCTCCCTTCCCCGCGTGTTAAACTCGGTTCTCTAAAAGGTGTATATCGAGGTGGGAGGATCATCTTGTCCTCCGACAACACATAAAATCGAGCGGTTGATAATGTTTTAATACGGAAGTTCAGCGTACGTTGTGGTTTGTATTTTGACGAAAGATTGCTTTCTTCCGGGGTCTTATGTGAGTGCTTAACTGGGGGTGAAACTTTCTTCCTTTTTTTTTAATAATTACTTAAAAAAGGATGTGTGGCTCTGAAAACCCGCTTCCACGCTTTCCTCCTAAGCGTGTTGAAATTTGACCTCATTTTAGATCGCCCTGGCGTATCGTGTTAAAAATTGTTAAGTTTCCCGAAAACCCCTCCCAAAAAAAAACATTTGCAAAAAATTGGGTATTTTATGGATAATAGTTTGCGGGGTTGTACCAACTGGGAATGCCTGCGGTTTTGAATTCTACGTGTGGCCATTCTTTCCCTTCTAATTAGGTTGAAAGAGTGCAATTGCGATTGGAAACCCCCCTTGAAGCAACATTTTTTTGCCAATCAAAAGCAACACCCCTTTTTTGAGGCGCCCCTTGCATTTTAGCACTTTCCTACCGCACAAATGCAGAACTGTGGCTGCTAGTGAAGAGAAGGAGCAGTTTCAAATCAGGCGATGGTCGAAAATCCTTCCACATCAACTCAGCTAGGCATAGTTGCTGAAAGCCATTGCCATGTTAGGCAGAACATTTTTTATTTAAATGGTTAATCTCATTTCAAATGCGCCTATCAATGCACCCTGCCACTCCAATTGACTGCCCTAGCTTTGATGCACTTCTGTCACCTGCTTAATGCAGACCACCTATAAAGCTAATTTTAAGTGCCATATGGCAAATGTTCATTTTTAAGTCGTCTACCGATCTTGGGCCTGCCCATTAGCAGTTGGGCTCACTGTAGCCGCATCAAGCTCCTCGGTTATTTGTTTGCATCCCAAAAAATGTCCCAACGCGTGTTCCCATCAATCACGGGATTCCACTGCTCTGGCGTGGGGGGTGTCACGAAGCAGGAGGAGTGAAGTCAAGCTGTCTTTCAAATACTTCCCATTCTGTTACCATATTTCAACTTTCTTCTTATGACCGCATTTGAAATGACCAATGCTTTCGGTAATTATTGGCAGTAGACTAAAACTAATGTCCCTTTGCTATTTGTTGAACTGAGTCTCTCGGTTTCGTATTCATTCGGTTGTTGCTACTTTGAATCGCTGCCTGCACTATACCATTAACCCTCTTCTTTTCACACCAATGAAGTGAGGGTTAGAGTTGTCAGTTCTCGCGTTTAAAAAGTAATGGTGTAGTTTTAAGGTTCGCTTTTGAGAGAGTGAGGAAGGAGCATTGAAAGGCGATAAGGATTAGGGCCTCATGCAGGCAGGATCAACTCTAAAGCTTTTTGAAGATCTCTTGAAATTTATCTATGAGCATAATTTCGTATTTTGTGAGGTAGAAGTAAAAAGAACAAAATAGTTAACCGATGACATCACTCCTACTCTTGCTATCAGAAGGTGGACGCTTTTCTTGCTCCTACCAATATGTAGAGGTGGTAAGGGAGAGCTTTGAAAATCATCCTCAAAATTATATTTTATCCTTTACTATGTGCCACTTCATTATCAGGGTTTAAAACATAGTTGCAGCTGTAGCAAAGCTCCATATAGTGTCATTTTAATTTATGCTTCTCTACCAGGGCCAATCGGTGAATACCAGTGGCGACTCCTCTTCCGGTCAAGTCCCATCCCTCGGTGTAGCAGCATCATCTACTGCCCAGGATCACAGTGAAACATCCACTTTTACAGCCGCCATCCCACCACGACCGCCCAACGGACATAGCGCCACATTGCTACGCCGCAATACCAACACGGACACATTGAAGAGCCCTGTCGCACCCACTGCCACCGCTGTCACCATGGATCCCAAGGTCACAGCGGAACTTATGCATCTGAGGTCGGTGATAAAGGAGAAGGACAGACGATTGGATGAGCTGCATTCGGAGGTGGACAAATTGAGTTCGGTGTTGCAGCAGCATATTAGCGAGTGTGACACTTGGAAGAAGGTGAGCTGGATCATGATTGCGAGAAGGTGTGTACAACTCATTCCCATTGAGATCCGTATTGACAGCTTTGGGATCGTAAATTTGTGATCATAATTGAGTAAAGGCGGTTTTTTCTTGAGACACACCTAAACATTCACTAATTTTGACTGGCCCATTACTTGTGGCCAAATGGCAAAATTGCATCGACTTTTTATGGCAAAATAAGCACTTACAGATTAGCTCTTTTTACTGTTGTAACTTGGGTATGTATCCAGATTTTAGGCCTTGAGACTTTGGAGTGAAGTTTCGGCGGCGTCTGACGCTAATAACCTTGTGCAGTGCCTGAATTGAGAGTAATTCTCAAAGCTTTGCCTTTGCATCATTCGGTCCTCGTGCGCTCACCCAACTGCAACATGAAAGCATTCATTGCAAGGGGTCCATCCGTTGATAAGCTTTTGTTCTTTGAAACACTTGTGGTATTGTCAAGAAAGTCTCTTGATAGCCCTCGCATATGTAACGCTAGGATAGGTCTCCGTTGTGTCACTGTCTCCACCTCACTACGCTGAGGAATGAGTATCCAACTTGTAAGTGACAGTTAAAGGAAATGATGATCAACGCATTTAAAAAGGACTGATTGACAGGTTCATGGATGAATAGTGGAGTGGGTTATTGACAGGACGAATGAAAAATGATGAATGCACTGGATGAATGGGTGGAGTAATTAATAGACTGCCCACTGTGGATACCCTGAGCGGAGATCCATGACATTAGTGAACGACTGAATAAACACTTTTTATCCCGTTGGGGATACCGAAAATCATGTGTTATCAAGGTCATATTTTGGTCGAACGGAGAAAAAACTAGTTTGACGAGCATCTATTTCTTAATGCGCTACCAGAGCATCAATGTATTTGTACACGTAAAAAGGGGATGAAGCGAAGCGCCCTTTTTCTCTCTCCACTCGAGAAAGGCCGGACGCGTATATTTTTAACTCTAATCTTCCGAGCGGCTGTGTAGGAGTAGGCCTCCCTCGACTGTACCAAGTATTTGTTCTGGGAGAGTGGTTTCTTTTTTTTCATCAAGAGAGCAGGTGAACTTGCCTTTTTTTGCTTGGGGGCTCTGGCAGAGCCAAGCGATCCCCCTGGAGACCAAAACAAGGCTTGGGGCCACCAGCACGATCCGTAGACTGACTCGCCCGCTGATGGTGTAATGGTAGAGCCCATAAGTAGATGCTTTACAAAAATGTAGAGTTCCATAAACGACCAATGCATTGCACACCACGTCAGCACTAAGTGTTCATCTGTCTTGTCTGAATTTGAAATTCAGATGCGGTTTTTTTCATGTCAATGACGTTTACACCTTGCGGATACACGTGCACAGCCACAAGTCGAGTCCAAATTCAATTAGGCTGGTTTCACAGAGGAACTTATGTTTTTATCTGCAGGCGCCTTCGTATCAGTCCGAGTTAATTCGGTTCATTTAGTTACCTGATCATCACTGCAAAAGTGCCATTTTTAAACACTCATTATGGAAGACGCGCTGGCGCATGGCTTGTGACGGACATTTTGTCGCGCTGCCATAACAACGCCTTTCGACGTCAATGCAAGCGTAGTAATGTGCACCCAAGGCATATTAAGAATGCGCTGCTTTTTATTTGAAAATTTCCTTTCCTGATTGGTTTAGGCTAAAAATCTTGTAGCAGCAGAACACACAAACTGGCCTGATTGTGAATAAGTGGGAGGAAGAATCTCACCTTCAATCCAAGCAGTCTGGCTGACGGAAATAGATCAAAAATCTCTATCCTGTAAGGCACACTAGTAGATCTTTATGGGAGGAACCCTTTTCGACCCCTGTGTCATCTATTTTTGCTATTAGAGGAGTGTTGCATTCTCACTCCTCAACCAGTCCTGTCACCACTCATTACTCTGTTCTTCGATATTTCATTGGCACTAACGGAAGTAAATTTATTTCCTATAAAAGATGAGTTAAATTTGTTTACTTAATTGGTAACTGCCTAATCCTGCTGTCAAATATGACAGTTATGATTTTTACAAGGCTTATTTTCTAGAAAAGGTGACAGTTCACCTTTGATGGTTAATGTTTTATCGTAGTAGCACTTGTTCACCATTTGTTGAGGTATTTATTAGCTGTTTTAAGCCTTAAATTTTTATGCGACGACTGGGAAGACTTCAACCTTTGCAGAAAAGGGAACGAGAAAGGGCACGAAGAGGTGGATGGATGACCGAAATGGCAATTAAACATAAAAGTTGGCTGGTGGGAGGATAGAAATTTTGGAAGGCATAAGAAGTTAGGACCGTTTTAAACACGAGAGACGCATTGAGAATGATATAAAAGCTACCCGAAGGCTCAACTAGTTAGGGATTAAGAAATTCAGTGGTCAATTTTCTGCAGCTTAACTGCCTTCACGAAGACCATCAGTAGTTGGCGGAACGATGTGATGAATCAAACAATGGGCAGGAAGCTGCCTGTTGAATGGATGAGTTGACAATGGATGACTGGCTGGATGGACCGATTGAAGATTTGATGATTTGGAGATTTTTATCTGGCAGAAGTTGGGATAAAATTTGATTGAGAAGTTGATTGTCCATGAACAAACGGCGAAATTGTCATTTTCGAAAGATATTCATCGTCGTAAACTTTATGACTTTTTCCATGTCTATTGTATTGTCAGTATCTTCTGGGTGAAATTGCAGACATGGTAATTAATCCAAACTATCATCTAGCGCTAACAGTTGTTCCGTTTCTAATGCATTTGTCGTTAGTTTAGCCTATCACATCAGTGCTGGACAGTCACTTCCGGAGTGTGTATTTGTCATCTGGTGATCAGTGAGGGCAGGGGAAACGGGTGAGTAGTCGATCACGCGGTTCTAGAAACGGCCGCTTTGGCAACATGGACAATCACAGAGGACAACCTGTTTAATAATCAGTCCTTTCCTCCACTCGCTTCTCGTGGGACCATGTCGCCGTTGAAGTGGCAATTTTATGTTCAGCCACGGTAGCTATTGTGTGAAGAGAGAAACAAAGTAACATAAGTGGAATGGAATTAATCATTTAAGAGATCGATCAAATGGGTAAATGAGCAAGTTCCCTTTGATTGTTGCGTGGTTGGAGACGGCTAAATGGATTGTTCAAGGGTAGAGTAGGCGGTTCTGGGACCGACTGTTCATTCAATGACTGTAAGAAAATATGTGAGCAGCTGGTCATTTCTCCCACCTAAGAAAGATTGACAGACATGGGTCGTTAACTCTGGAACGATATTTGATACAGGCGATGGTTGCACGTCCCCTCTAGCATTAAACGCTCATAATCACTTCCAGGCTTCCATTTTCAACTTAACATGAACACCTTTACTACCGACACACCAGACGCCCTCTCCTCTCCCTCCTTTCCCCATCCACACCGCCACCGCCGCCCTCTTGTGTCTATGGTATTTTGATTGTTCTTGGCCCCACAATAATTGCTGGTATTTTTCAACTCTACTGACAGACCTTAGGCGATGAACAATGGCACTGGTTTTAGAACGTCTAAGAGCTTCGATCTTTGGCCTTGAATTTCAGACATGTTTAGTGGGTTGAATGGCTGGATGAGTGATTGTATGGAACAATTGAATGAATGAACGCGTAGCTGAAAGGAGGAGGCCGCTAGGTTAGCTAACGATTTGAATGGTTAAATTGACCTATATTTGTATGAATGGATGAAGGATGGCTGAATGAATCAGGTGCTAATGAATGGACTTGGAGGGAACTAGAGTAGGGAGCAGAGAAATACTTACTTCTTCGTTTACTAATTGCTTTTCTTAATTTTCCATTACCTGATCTCTGGTCAAAATGAAATCTTCCACTTTGTTATTGATTCAATCTTGCAACCCAGCGGTGCCCTCTGTTCTACCCGTATTGGGAGGGCAAAGAATTCGCCTTTAGTAGTTGCCTGAAAATGGAAGCCCAACAGGCGGTGTTTATTTAATAATTGCAACATATGCGAAAAGCCCTGGCATTTGGCATTTATTTATTTTGCCTTGGATTTTCTGTAGCCTGTCAAAGTGGGCAAACAGGAATCTGAGGTTCGTTTGACAAAAACTCAGGTTTGAGAAAGACATTCATAAAGCAGCAACCACGTCGGCCATAAGTTTTAATGGAAACTTGATTGCCATCATGGAAAGGTGGTTCGATTCTAGTCATAAATAAGAGTTATTGAATCTCTGAATAAATGGCCTTAAATTACAACGCTTCTTTTCTCCTCTTATCAACGAAGAATCCTCCTGCGATAGCTGAACACCTTATGCGTGCCTCCTCGCTCCGTCGCGGTTCCCTCAATACTAACACCACTGCCTCCACCAATGCTGCTCAGGATTCAGTTAACAGCTCCGCACCCTCAGCAATGATGGCGACGCGATCACCACTATCTTCCGAGGGTTCTGCTGGAACAACTTCCTCACCCACTTCGGCTGACGGTCTTGGACCCCTCCGCTCACATGCTGTAGGTATCGCTGGTGCTGGAGGCGTACCGAGCAAGCGCCTCGGTGTCTCCGCCGAACCGACCATGGCTGTGCAGTCTATTGCGCCAGTAGAGATTAAGTATTACGACAAAGATGCGAAGTAAGCCTCCTTCTTCTTACTTGTGTCTAGCAGTACCAAGGCAGAATTGTGAGGCTGATGTGGTGATAAAATGCCATGAAATCTTACCTTTTAATGGTCTTTATGCTCGGTTTCCTTCTTTTCTGTCCGATGTTTGAGCGGACTGAAACAATGCAGTGGTTATTTTTATCATCTTTCAACTCCCAACCACCCCTTATCATGATTTAATCGGGTCTAGCACTTTTCTGTCATTTAGACAATTTGACAACCTTACCTCTGTTTACTTATCAACCAGCCACGTTTGATGATGTCATCTGCGACACTTAGTGCAAGAATAGTTCTGTAAGTAAAGTGGCAATCAATGACTTTTGAAAAATGCGAGGCATTTTGGTGGTGATTACACTGGTTCACTTTCTCCAGGGTCAGGGTCTTGTAACAGCTGTATTAGTAATTAGTGCAACTAATACTAGCAATTAGTCAATTGTTTAAGGCCTGTTAAAGTGCTGTTTAAAGGGCCTTATTCGGAAGCAAATCCAGAGCGAATTTTCGACACTCCAAAAGCTGTCCCTATTTAGTCTCTACTTCTTTCACCCAGTCATGCAAATTAAATATTCAGACTGCGAGTTGAAAGACAATTCCTCATGATGACCTTCGACAAGTAAACAAAATTATTCCCTGGTCGTCCATTCGTCCCCTAAACAGCAGTCGTCATTACTTGCTTCACCGTGATTGGCCACGGTGAACCAATTGGGTTTTCCAGTGATAGTTATGTGTGCCTAATTGCATTGTGCCCTGGCCTTGGGCTCCGTTTCAATAAAAAAAAAAACGCTATTTTTAGCATTCTCTCTTCGTGTTTACAGGATGGAATCTGTTTACTTTGGGGAGTGCAAAATTGTGAATTTTATCATTTGTAAAATCATTTTGTACAAATTAGCAACAAATCTCCTTGTTGATAAGTTCATTAATTAGGGCGATTGAGTCATCTCAAAACGATTTGAATTTTCTTGCTAGCGTAAATTGTGGTTAAACAAATGGAAAGTGGTGGTGCGCATGTGACCCTCCACTTTCCCACAGACAGGACAATTTTCGCAAAAAATTATACAAATGGCGTTCCTTCATGCAAGCACACCATTGAGGTCGTCTAATACGAACAAGAATTTCCATCAAGTTATTTGCTTTTGCCACCAATTTACTTGGCGATGCTGTTGCTATGAGTAATCCCTTAGTCCAAAAAAAATCATGGGATCTTAGCGCCGGCGTCATATGTTTTTTCAGTAGGCGCAAATAACAAAAGGAAGTGAGATGGGTGTGAGAAGTCAAGATTACTGATGGAAATTCTCCTCCTCCTTATATCCGATTTTGCTAGTGAATTTTATTGCCTAAAAACAGTCCTGTTGAAGGGCTGTTGCATCAGAAGGCCATAAAATTTATGTGCGCCTTCTGTGGTCGACTCACAGTTCGATTGACTGGGGAACATCGCTTGCTACCCTCGAAGGTCTCCGTCTTTAAGCACGAATGGCTCCCTACTTCATTGGTTGGAGATGCTTGCAGTGGTAGAAAACGCTCCTTTTCGATGTTCTAACTTCTACAACTTCTAGCCCTGGACTTCAAAGAACCATAGGATATCGTGTCCTACACTGCACAAGGCCCACAAGGCCAATTTCGACCGAGTGGGGCCAATAAGTGAAACAGAAATTACCGAAAGCTCTAAATATTCGTTATCTACCATTCGGATTTCACTTATACTGGCATCGTGTGTTCCCTTTCCACTCATATTTCCAGCCACAACGACATCGGTATGAGTGCTCAAGTCTACTTACTGTTGCGGTTGGTAGCTTCACAGGTTCTAGGCTTAGACGCATAAAAGCAGTTTGCGATGAAAAGGGTGGGAGTTTTTATGCCGTGCGACTTCGAACGTTTGTGTGGGACGTAGGTGAAAACTAATTGTGAGCTGATTGCAGGCTATTGACCAATGCCATCTTATTTCCACACTTCAGGTCGCGGCAGGAGATTCGCAACGCCTTACGAAACAACGAATTCCTCAGAAATTTAGACGCGGTGCAACTGCAGGAGATCGTATCGTGTATGTACAAGCACAGCGTTGTGGAGGGTCGTTACGTCATTCGTGAGGGTGAAGACGGGCATCATCTCTACGTGGCTGCAGGTATTATCGTTTTTTTCAAGCAAAAAAATTATCCCATTCACCGAGTTGAGCTGGTACTGTGGTTTCCGATTTAAAATCATTCAGTTATTGTTGAAGCTACTAAGACCAATAATAGCCTTCTTCTTTTTTTACATTTCTTCATCTTACTCCTTCCAGAGGGTGAATACGAGGTATGGAGGAATGGGAAGTACCTCTACACCATGGGTCCTGGAAACTGTTTCGGTGAACTGGCCCTCCTCTACAACTGCAAGCGCACTGCTTCCATAAAAGGTGAGAAACTTTTTATTATTATTATCGTATCGTTTGCGAACATAATCATGCATGCCATCGCATCTTTGTGTCTGTATGAGACATTGTGTTGAGCAGGCGTTTGTCCTTTTTTCTACGCGGAGACTGCCACGAGTAGTCCTCTGGACGTTTCTCGCTGTTATAAACTCCTTTACTGGTGATCGCAATACCACAAACAATAGCTCCATTGTTACAATTTACTGATGAGGTGAGATGATTTGAAGTCATAATAAGCATGTCAATGCCACCCAAGGGTGGCAACACAATCCAAGAATGTAGACAGAATTACGTACAGCACAAATGGATAAAAACAAAAAGACATCCTGTTTTGCTATTGCCATCGCTGCAACAACAGATCTTGCCGATTTTTGGGGATTTCCACTCATATAAACCTCTGCTGGTGTGTAAATGCTATTGTAGATCCACCTACCAAGTCGATTTGGAATCGGAACGCTGTCATTTCCATTTCTATCGAGATTGCATTCCTTCCTTCCTTCCTTCCATTGCTTCGCTAATTTCTAGGCTATTTAGTCACTATTGTAGGCTACAAGTCAAGATGACCCAAGTTGGTTCAGGTGGTTGAAGGAGTAGGGGCAAGATGAGTCCACGTCGTCCTCACCTCTGCTCTCAACATGGACCCAACATTATATGCGTAACTCCGCTTGGCGGGCCTTTTGGCCACCTTGCCTACATTACGCAGCGTGAGAATTTATCACTGCTGTTGAAAAACCAGGAAAGCCAAAACCTACTTGATTGGTAATCGTCTCTGAGCTCACGTAGTGTTGATTGATGAGGGGGTAAATTTGTCCTTCTCCTGTTTAATGAAATACCCCGTTATTATTAGGACTCCTAACCATTGAATCTGGTGATTTTAGGCGTATATTTAGAAGTAATCACATGGCAAGATCATTGTGAATCAGGATTTAAACTGACGATGTTATCTCAAAATGTTTAAGTTTCTAACATCCACGTTTATCAGAACTCATCCAAGGCATGTCTTTCTTGGTTAGTAGGCCGAAAGTATTGGGAATGCCTTAAGGAGTGGCAGGTGGAGTTACCATATTCTGAAGTCATGCTTATGCATAAATGAAAAATTACCTTTCTCCTCCTTGACTTTTGGTGGAGGTCTTTCAAGATGATACTCTCTACCTAGATCACTTTAGAGATTGGAAAGTCCAACTTTCAGTTTATTCACCTCTAGACGAGGAACAGATGCCTCTGGCGGCTCCTAATGGGAGTTGAAATGGGTTTTTAAAGGGCTGGGCTGGCTGACTCAGTACATCCTTGTGACCACTGGTGTATGAAAGGCTAACTTTTTTGCTGTCTGTCTGCTGAACAAACCTTTATTTCCGAAATGATACACTGAAAACTCGTAATCAGCAGCTTCTCATGTCTAAAATGGTAAGAGTGTTGCTATTCTAGCTCTCTTCTCTTGAACTATGGAAGAGCGTCCCATTGCCCCCTTTACTTTGCCAAGTATTAACGATTCAAAAGACTATTCAAAACTGGCTGAAGTGGCTTACCAAGGACAAATGCATTTTCACCCAAAAATTCCTGATAATGCTGTCTGGTAATGCTCAAATCGATGTAAGCTTGAAGAGTTAGTCGTGTTCCCTATTAATCAAATGGCATCATGACATCTAACGTCAATGACACGCGTCTCTGCTTCACTTTCTTGTAGCTGTCAGAGCTGCACACATCTGGGTTTTGGAACGAAACATCTTCCAGTTCATAATGATGAAAACAGGTTTGGAGAAGATGGAGGCGCGAGTGAAGTTCCTTTCAAGGCAAGTTTTTCACCCAACAATTGAAAGCTGCATCCTATTCCTCCTTTCCACCATCCTCACTATTATTTTTGCCATCATCAATCATTTCTTTTCGCTCCTCTAGCGTGCCTCTCCTAAAAGACCTGGAACAGAGTCAACTTCAACGGATAGCTGACGTACTAGAGGCTCAATTTCACCCCGACGGTGAATGCATCATTCGACAGGATGAGCAAGCGGACAGCTTCTTCATCATTCAATCGGGCGAGGTTGGTTGAGTAACGTCCCTCTCGATTGCTGCATTTGTTACCCTCTGCCATGTTCTGGGGCCCATAGGTCGATTGTTGGAGCTTCACAAAGTAGGGGAATGTGGGGAGGAATGGTTTAAACGGGAGGGTGTGTGGTAGTATTGTGCGATGGCCTGCAGCTTACGGCATGCAAAAACCTGATCAGTTGATATCCGTCCCTTATCTTTGGACGAAGTTCTTGAAGTCATCAAGTGTTGGTAATCAAAGTATGGAACAAGAATGAAGGCAATTGCTTGCCGGTACTCATCATGGCGCACAACAATAGTGGGGGATTCGCGATGTTTCACCATGGGCCTAATGGTCTTAGAGACCCACGGGCGTTGCTGTTATGTTTACGACTCCTTGAGACTGACAGGGCTGAGGAGTCAGTGGTATGATGGTTGTGGACAAGTGATGAACAGGCGATGTCCTAGGAAAGACCAGTGAAAACAGAATGCTGTATGCATCCAATGGCAGGATTGACTGAACTAGCTGGCATCTTGTAGCTGGTCTCATCGCGGTACTTTTGCTCATCCAGCGTCATTAAGGAGCGCAAAGAGTAGCCACTTGGGTGATTTTTCTACGCAACCACTCACTTCGTCGTCACTGCTGCCTTTTATGTTGCTCCCTTCTACGCTTCGGGAGCAATAAAACAAATTTAGCAATTTTATGATGCTTTTTAATCAAAAAAATATTTGCAGTCTATTCTTGCTAACGTGTTTGCGAACTGTCTCATGATTTCGCAGACGGGCCATAAGAGGTCCAGATGTCGAAAGAGTTATGGTGAAGCGGTTCGCTTAAAGTTAAAAGCAAATCCCATGCAAAGCAAAATAAATCAAGGTTCCGTGGTGCACGGTGATGCGAGTTTTTCTGTATAGCATCTTGGTGTTGAGAGATAGCATAGGTAAAACCGCTTTTTTTACAAGCACACCAACTTTTACCCTTCTGATTTGGTGAATCGGTGCCAGCAGTGTGGCTTCAGTCATGGCTGAGCGTCTGAAACACTCGCTGTTTGCATCGAACCATCCTTTCAAAATCAACTATCAAAACTAATTGATAGTTTATTTCATCCATGGTTCTAACAGCCTTAATTCATTAAATCCACTTTTCTGAATTTTTTTCTTCCTCATCTGTACAGGTTCGAGTTACAATGAAAGTAATGGGCCCAGACGGTGCATCGAAGGAGATCGAGATCCGTCGGATGAGCAAGGGCGAGTACTTCGGTGAGAAGGCTCTGCTGGGTGAGGGTAGACGCACCGCCAACATTTATGCTGCCTCACCTGCAGGCGTAGAACTACTCTGTCTCTACCGAAAGTAAGCTGCTACTGCACAGAAATATTTGAGGATTTAATTAAACCAACGCTTAGTATTTAGACCAAGTCTGATTCTAAAGGCCGGTGAGATTGTATATTTTTCCTTCCCTTTTATCCTCCTCCAAACATTTGAATGCTATTCCTCCTTCCACAGGGACTTCCTCGAACTCATGGGCAACATTGCTGATCTGGAGCACAAGGAATACGTGGATCTGGAGCATCTTCAATTACAGGGGTTAGTTTGTCTCTCCTTCTTTAAGTTGTATGCTTTGATAACGATGAATTAGGGATGAATGGTATGGTGCTTGCCCTATTAAAGTGTAAAGAGAGAGAGAGAGCCAAGCTCTAACTGACAGCTGAATGGCCGGAAATCTGCTCGGAGAAGTAGGTGGGTGATTGGAGAGGCAGATTGGTGCTGAGATGAATAGATAGGAAGGCCGATAAATTAGTAACCAGGTTAATGGATAGATGAGTAAATAAGTGTGTAGAAAAACAAGAGTAAGTGAGGAGATGAATACGCTGACAAGTACGCATGTGTTAGAGCGAAGGCATTGATAAATGAATGAATGAGGCCAGTGGATAGATGATGGAAGGTCAAGCGCAAGGAAGCTTTGCAGTTACCCCGTGCACGAAGGGTGCAACAGGTCCCTGAAATTGAATTTCGGATCGGCTAATCATAGGGCTGGTCTTTGGGCTGGCAGATGTGTGGAAGAATGAAGGCTAGGATGTTGAGGAAAAGATATCGTGGTCTCAAGTGGTGGACTACGCCATAGATGAATGACCTTATTGATAAAGCCGGAATTGATGTCTGTGATTGTCCAGAATAGGTTGGGCAAACGATTCGATGAGTGAGTGTTGCCTAAGGATTAAAGTATAGGGGGTGGACGTTCGAGTGAATATATTGATGGAAGAATGGACAAATATACAGAGGACTAATGGGGATGTTTGGACGTCGAAGACTAGTTGGAAAGATGAATAGCATGGTGGACAGAGTTGAAGGAGCTAAGCATGGGTGGACATATCTTGGTTAAGTGGATGGGGACTCCTAAAAACTACTGGATGTTTGCTCATTTCTTCGAAAACTAGTCGAGCTAAATTGGTGATGACTTTGGCAAACAGCTGAATGCAGTGGCGAGTCGATGGACAAATGTGTGGAATGGGTGGTTGAGTAAATGATGAGATTTTGATAGTTCAATGTTTAAAGCCCTTGGGATTCTTTCTGACCTCCTTATTTCCCTCGCTTCCTCTTCGCATAACCTTAGCCCATTAACCACATATCACTTTCAGAGGCCAACTGAAGGCAGCTCGACCTCTCAATTTGAACGAGGACGATCCTACAGTGACCTTGACTTCAGCTAGTCCCACTTCCCTTGATCAGCTTCTTGGTCAACGCGAGGTCAAAGCGGCCGCCGGAGACCGGGTCCAGTCGCCAACCACCCGCAAGCTCTACACCCGCGAATACAATATTGCCGCCAAACTTCGTCTTTCTGACCTTGAACGTGTGGCTGTGATTGGTCAGGGCGGCTTCGGACGTGTTGAACTGGTGAGTTACTCATGCTGCTCGAAATAAGTCAAAATGGTGGCAATAAATTTGGTGTCAGCACTGGACTAGCAGGAGGTGAAGAGCAAGGGGTTGAAGGGAAAGAAGGATGATGTATTGCGAACGGGCTATTAACCAATAAGGTTGAATCAAAAATAGAGTGCATCCGCTTTTTTCCGCTTTTTTCTCATCTCTCTGAATGAGCAAAAAAATGAATGCAAGTAAGTGTTTGCTTAAATTGGTCACCCTCGTCAAAACAGATGACTACACACATTAACCAGGCAGAATACTTTCTGTATTTTAAAGAAACTTATTGCATTTTAAGAAGTGAGACTATGGCCGGCCTTTTGCTTTGGGTGTTAACCATTGCGTGATTCATATCCACGGTATATTTCACCAGAACTCCAGCCAATCTCTACGGAAGTTTTGTTTAAAGAGACTTTATTGCCTCTGCCGGTGACAGTTCCATAATTCATTGAAATGTTCTTAACTGGAAAAATGATGGCCTTTTACTTCGCTCCTCACTTGTAGGTGAGTCCCTGCATTGCGAGGAAATTAGTCCAAATTTAAATCCTCAAAATAAATTGTCTCTCTGGATTTGTTAGCCTCGTTGTCAGTTTTATTGTAAGCACCATCGTGGCAGCTGCTCTGCAAGAGAAAAAAAATTGTGCAAAGGAATGTGCAAAAAGCAAAAGGGATATCTTATCTTTGTAGAACTACAGTATTGTTTTATCTCAATCCCCAGGTGCGACCAATCAGTGACCACAGCATCGCCTTCGCTCTGAAGCGCATGAAGAAGGTGCACATAGTGGAAACGAAGCAGCAAGACCATGTTCACTCAGAGAAGCAAATTCTCATGTCGGTTGACAACAGCTTTATCTGCAAGTGAGTATCAAGTTGTCACCTTTTTGCTTCGTCTGTCATTCTGTCGTGCTCTCTCTCCTCCTCGCCACTAAAATGAGACACTGAAATAAAGTATGTTCCACTAATTGCAGTTGGTAGTGCAGCATTTAATGATTCCGCCGATTCGAATACGCGGTGAGCTGCTGTTATATGCAGTGTTCTTTTTGTCCATCCACCCTTTCAATTATTTTATCCATCCGTTTTCCACCCACCTATTCATTCAAGCCATTGGTGCAGTCTTTCATGATATCCTTCCGCTTATTCACCCATTCATCATTGAACAATTGTTATGGCTCCCTTCTGTCGTCTGAATTTCCGAGGTTATGGGGTAGAACATTCTGCATATCTAGACTCTGATTAAGTGGCACGAGTTTGAAGAGTCGCTGATCCCAAAACGTGCACATTTAAGCAGTTTGTTCAACTATTCCCTCATGTGTCAGTCAACAATGTCTTTTATGAGTCTGCGCTGGGATGAAAGTAGATTAAACTGCAAGAGCTTTATGAAGCATTGTACTCCTTTTTTCTTCCTGAACCTCGTAAAACTGGGATTGAATGAGCCAAGGTGCCTGCGAGGCATCCGGGTGACGACCCTTTCAAGCCACCAGTACCTCTCGCTTTACCATGCAAGTGATCAAGTCGAAAAATTCCCCATTCTGTCGGTTTTCGACCTCATATCTCGCTCTCGCCTTCGATCACTGAATCACTGGCAATGCTTGTTGTAGTCACTCCTTCAAGTGCGACATTTTGGTTACCTGACCGTCGCCTTTGGATATCCGCGAAGCTGAAAACTGTTTCTTTAAAAATGGGAAAAATTGGCTCAAATCTATTAATTTTTTTCTTCTTGAAATGCATAACGGTGACCTTGAAACATCAGTGTACCGCACTAATGGATTGTCGAGCAAGGGAGGGAACAACTTTCAAAACATTTAATTTTAATTATAATAATTTTTGCAATTTTTACAGAACAGATATAAATCACTTTTGTTTACTGTTATCAACGTGTGGGGGCCTCAGGACACAAAGGCAATTCGGTTTGCGGCAATAATATCACGGCACCTCGGACTTGGCTGTCTCTCTGTCTCGCTCTCTCTCGTATTAGTCGCGTCCACACGGAGGGACCCGCTCATACCGACCGTTGACGAAGTCGCTGCAGACTGATGACGTTGTGCCTCAAGCACACTTCTAACGCAAAATTTGTTACTATGACTGGCACGTCTCCGTGATTGGAATTGAGATTATGAAATTAATCGCAGACCTTCAACTACCTCCCAATCGGGCAGTCCGAATTTACAAAATCCAAAGTGGTGTTACTTGAGGTTGTTCTAGCTTTAAGCGGGGCAAAACTGCGCTACCATTTGGTCCACCTTCGAACGCAACTTATTTCAGCTTGCGAAATCTGAGGACGCGGATTCTGCGAAAATCAAAGGCGGGCGATAGCAGTCAAATATGTTTACTTTCTGCTAGACAGCGCGACAGATGGTTTAAGCCCTTTTTCCTTTTGTGATCACCAAGGCACTGGATTGTGGAGGGAAGAATGTGTAGATTGAAGTATTTACGCTTGCCTTGCCAACTCCAACCAGGTCAGTCCGTGGAAGGCTGACTTTGAGGCAAATTGCTTTGAGTTACTTCGGTGGTCAACTGCTGCCATTGACTGAAACAGCGAATCCAACCAGCCTCGTACCCCCATCAGGAGGGCCGCTAAATTTGGAGAATCGTTGAAATGGTTCTTTCACACCAGAGTCCGGAATATCCCTTTCCAATGTTTGTAGTCGCTGGACTTCTACTGGCTGTCAGCTAAATATTTTAAGTTCTTTTGGCACCTATGGAGAAGCCAGACTGTTGGGTGTGCAATTAAGCCTTATTTTGGCTACTACCTCACTTGCACCGCTTGCAAAACAACCTAAATTCTCTGGGCTAGTGTGCCAGAGGCTCCACATTTGTTGCATGAATAATTTTGTACAGGCGCAGGAGGACAGCATTCGCGCCTTCAGGGCGATATCTGCATCAAATCCAACAAATTTTGTGCATTCCTTCGCCATACAAGATGGCACATAATTTGAATTTATGCTCCAAAATGTGTATTTTTTTTGTGACATCAAAGCAAACTTAACACTATGCCACCTATTTTCTGCTGGCTGGTTTATCGTCGAATCAGAAGGGAATGTCTCAATTAATTGGTGGCTTACTTAAAATTGCTCTGAACTAGTGAAATGAACCGCTCACTCTTTTTCATCTCTACGCCCAGGCTATTCAAAACCTTCCGAGACAACAAATTTGTCTACATGCTGATGGAATTCTGCCCCGGTGGTGAACTTTGGACAGTCCTTCGTGACCGGTGAGTCGAAAATTGACCCTTTTTCGCATCATTTACTCTCTTCAAATCCGCATAAAGTAGTACGGGGTCCAGATTCTCACACCTATCTTTATTCGGTAGCCAACAAGCAGTTTGAATGATGGCAATTTTAGTAATATTTGGACGTAAGAAGGATCGCCAATTTTGTCATTTTCTCTGTAGACGCGCTTTTGATGACAAACTAACGCGGTTCAGTTTAGCCTGCGTGATTGAGGCCTTCGACTATTTGCATCATCAGGGAATCATCTATCGCGATTTGAAACCGGAAAACATGCTTCTCACTAGTAACGGTTACATAAAGCTCGTGAGTACCCTTCTCGGAATGATCTATTTTCCAGAGATGCTGAACTTGGTGCCTTGCCATTACGCTATGTTGGTTCCTCATTATCCCAACATATGTAGTAAAGATCAGTCACATAAACTATCTTACAAGTCTTCAAAGGATCTTTGCACCTCTGCAGTGCGACTTTGGTTTTGCAAAGCGTCTGGGCCCCCAACGTAAGACATGGACGTTCTGCGGAACACCGGAGTACGTAGCTCCCGAGGTCATTCTCAACAAAGGTCACGACTTTGCTGCCGACTACTGGTCTCTTGGAATCCTCACTTGTGAACTCCTTATGGGCACGTGAGTACACTCCCAATAGAGTTGATAACTTCGCTTTCCTTGTTTACCCACCCTAACCGCGTATCACAGCCCCAACTCTTAAACTCATCAACTTCAGCCCGCCCTTCCAAGCCTCGGAACCGATAAAGATCTACATGAAGGCGCTTCGAGGCATTGAGGCGTATGACCTGAGCCACCATAAGAACATCAGTGTAAAGGCCTATCAGTTCATAAAACGCTTGTGTCGGAACACTCCCACCGAACGCCTTGGGATGGGCCGACAAGGCATTCAGGAGATTCGGAACCAAAAGTGAGTTCACGTTACTCATTCGATTTAAGTAAGCAGTTATTGCCATATGACATTATCACTACTTTTACTGATTTTAGATACTTCCAAGGGTTTGATTGGGACGGTGTAAGAAACCGAACCCTACAGTCGCCGTTCAAACCAAAGGTAAGGATTGAAATTATCAATTCTGCAAATAATGTTGTCGTTTTGATTACTTCTTCTTTGCTACTTCCGTTTAGGTAAATGGGCCATGTGATTTCAGTAACTTTGACCAATTTCCCGTTTCGGACGAACTGCCACCAGACGAGACATCGGGCTGGGACATCGACTTCTAGGTTACCTGTCTTATTTTTTTTCTTCCCATAATTCCCACCCGACCGAGTGGAACTGCCACCCCTGGCATCGCCCGCTATCGCCACCACCACTTCGTCCTCGCTTGATTACCATTTTTATACCGATATACATATATATATGTATTATACACAGAGACGCGCGAATTTATGTCACGATACGTACGTATGTCGTTTTTTGGACCCTTTTCAACCCTCTTCTCCATTGCCTTCCGACCTCCTCCAATTCTCCACGTACCAAATCTTGCCGCGGAGGCTCCCGTTGCATCGTATCGTCCAAAGCCTGTACCCACCCACTTCTCCTCCGTATCGACTCCTCAGGGGTCGCACGCCTTCTCAACAACTTTACTCCATGCGAATTCTTCCGAATTATTCTCTCAGGAGAGATAGGGGATTTTAAAGTCCGTGCCCACTTTTCGTCATCAAAAAGTGGACAGACTCGGTCGTATTTTTTGAACTTTGAGGGTCAGTGAGCACCATAGGTCAGATGACTCATTACTTTGAAATAATGACGACTGTCCACCACCCGATGTAGGGACGCCTCGCATCTACTTTTGACGCGCTATTAGTGAGCATCAGCCTTGACTCGGACCGATGGAAGGCAGCAGTCAATCTGTAAACCGATAAGAACTGGAAAGTCAGTCCACCGTGATAGCACTCAAAAACGAATGAATCTGTGCTCAACACGGATGATTAGAAAACGGCTTTTATAAGCATTGTATTAATCTCTTCATGCGGTGGCCTGTTTTTTTCGCACGATATCATGGTCTCATGGGGTACTTGGGGTATAGGGCAGCATATCTCCTCGTCCTAATGACTTACTCTTATCATGAAGTACTACAATATACAGACAAAAAAGGACACTTTGTTGTCAACAGTTCATTCCCTGGGGTCGGTACTTTGTTCACACCTTCAAGTTGTCGTTGTCGATGCCTTAGGCGCTCGTGCTTGGCATCTAGTAGACCCAAGTGGATTTGAAATGGCTAGCGTTCCTTCATTCAAACACAAAACCTAGTTCCCATTGCAATTCGGCCAGTTGAAAAATAATTTGGAGACGATGGGTTACAGCAAACCAACATTTCCACTTCCTGCTAATTCCGGTTTTGAGTGTTCACCAGATCTGATCTGTAGGGATCGGTTGCAATCATTTGATCTACGCAGATTTGGAAAGTCGAAGTAAATGATAGAACAGATTTGATTCAAGATTGCCAGAACATTCCTGTCCATATCAATCTGAAGACACCGAATATCGCCCTAACTAACAGTGATCGAACCTCGTCCGTCAAAATGTTACCTCAGACATGCAAAAGCAGACGGTGGCTAGTAAGTGTCATGCAGAACTTTGAAGGTACATAGGAACACAGGCTTCTGATGCCAGATAGGCATTGGTAAGAGTTAAGAGTGGTGACAATAAATTTAGGGCCAAATTTCAAAAACTGGGTGTAAATCTTCACCATGTGGATCCATCGAAGTTAAATGAATGATAGTGAACACAAAAGTAGAGCAACAGATGGGGAAGACAATGATTGAGTCGGACCAAAAATGAGTGGAATATAAGACTGACGGGAATTTTGTAGACCAAGAGTCGAATATAAAAGTATGAATACAAAGCGTTGCCAAAGCTTTAAGCATACAAGCGACTTCTACAGAAATGTAGTTTTTCTGACTTGTCATTGATAGCAATGCCTAAAGAGAAGGAGTGCCTGCCAGGTCAGCTCTAAAACATCCGTATTTTTATGATCAAGTGGGCCATGGAAATATGGCATGATGATGATGATGATGCAGCATTAAAGTAGGTTGCCCGATAGTTGGATGGCATCATGGAACACCCCAACAAATAGCCGTCGGCGACGTCAAACACAAATGCGAAGATTGGTTCGCAATATGATTGACATTGCATCAGAGGTAATATTTCCATTAAGGCTGCCACACTTCATGCAATGAAACTATCGTATCTAACAGTTACATCAAACTAACAGCGAAACCGACACAGGAAAACTTGAGGCGCATGAAACATTATCTCACGTACGTTCAAACTAATAACACTGAGAGCCAAGTCCAAAATATTCACTCACACAATAGCAATAGTCTATACATGTGGAAACAAATTTTGCAGATTACCTGAAAACGAGCGCAGCAAAGTAACACCCGCCAGATGTGGGGATTACGCTTAAGTGCCCTTTGGGTTGTTTTGGTGTACGCGAATGAGGGCCATCGTGACAGCGGCCAATGCATTTGCTTCCCACTCAACCACACTTTGGCTGAATTCATGAGCTCCTCCACCTTCCAATCAATTTTGAGAACTTAGTAATGGGGAAATGTGCTTGCTTTACCTCCTGCAATGAACCTCAACGAGTTTGTTAAACATTTATCGGTGACAATGACTTTGCTTAATCGTGGGAGAATGGATGCACATAGCTTGGGCCCAAATTTGTTGCAGCTTCCCGAGACTTCCAACCGGGTGGAAGGAGAAAGTAAGTGAAGCCGGATACAGGTATTCCAAGGAGGACGAAGCACACGAACCTGAGCATGGTCCGAAGGCCAGCCCAAGCGTACAAGGCCAGACAAATCCTAACGTGATCGCCTAGCGTCATGTGGTCACATAAACAAAGCATTGCGTTAGTCATGTAAAAATAAGCAATTCGATTTTGCAAACTCTCTGAAACTTCAGATTTTGGTACTGCTTATGAGTGTGGTATTTATTGAAAACAGAAAAAGTACAAATGGAGTTGTTTTGCTTTGTCCCACAAAATTTTGCCTCACGTTGCTGGTAGCAAACCATAATTTGGCGGAATGAATCTTTAGCTGTGTTGAATGTGAGGGGTGGTCTTCCACCGCTAGATATTGTAGGTCGACGAAGTCCTGTCCTGTGAATGTATACTATGCCCTCCCTAATTCATCTCTTCAAGCCAAAAATCTGAGCTAAGATGTAGAAGAGGCAAGTAACGTTAATGATGCGCATATCTCTTGCACACCTGAAGGCGCTCATCCTCTTCTTGAAATTCGCATCATCATCATTACCAGCTTACCATTTTCATTGCTCCTCTCTTCTACCTCTGTGTTACTATCCTATTATGGGAGGGCATTGCCAATTGTTGGTCATTTATAATCCCGAATCTGGGCTCGACTTTTGTCTGTGAGTTGCTTTAGCTGCCCAGATTGTCTTTGTAACTTGTATTATAGGCTTTGGTGGCGTCCAAAAGTTCTTGTGTCGCAATTGAAGGCTTTGGAAATAGGGCAAGAATTACCAAGCTAATTCATAAAATTTCATAAAACAATTGCGAGATGCAGGGAGCATACTTTGGTTGCGTCCACCTCCACTGGCCTATTGTATATTATTGAAGTAAAACAGCAAGGCGCATTAACGTTGGAAGCCAGAATGTCAAATCATCAACGTCGATGCACATTTCCACACAACCAGCGTTTAAAGCGGAGGACTATACTTAGTTGACAAACCCAGGAAGAAGACAAATGGGAGAACATCTTTGCAGACAAATGGATGCGGGATATTTGCCCACATAAGTCTCTGGGCAAGTGGACCAATCAGGTGACCTGTGGTGTCTTCGATCTCTAGACCAGGAAACTAAATCTGGTCTTCTACGACACTTTTTGGATGCAAACGCCTCATGAAAAACAAATATAGGACACCTTGTTCCAATTAGGCTTTTCAATTTATGGATTAGGATTTGGGTTCCACACAGATGCAGAACCGCCAACTAGATGGAGGGTAGTGACACACCTCGGAGACTGTTTACCTGATGGAAGGTGTGCGGATTCGCAAAACGAGAATGCGAGAAAATTGGGAGTTGGCGGTATCGTACTTGTACAAATTTTATTTTGCTCTGTCCTCTAGGCCTTGACATGGCGGTAACAACAAGCCAAAGTAGCATAGACGTACATTCTACTCACAAACGCAAAGTAGAGTCGGGGATCTAATGACATGGCCCGCAGGAAGAGCGATGGAACAATTCGCATCGCTAAGGACCTGGATAGGGTCACTTCACAAAATCAAGTAAATCACCAGGCTTACACAAAAGTGAGTCTGCCCCCGCCCTTTATAACCCATCGGAAGTACGGTGGAACCCTCTTGAAGAGCTGGAGGCAAAATACCGTGGAAGAATGCGTCCCGCTGACTGACAAAGGGGACCAGATCCACTGATAGGCTTTAAACTCCAGACGCACAGGTCACGGCAGAGCGTCCAAGTAGCCCATTACCAAAACGAGGACTCAGAACAATAAATAATGTGCTGCATCTTTGAGAAAACATTGTTGCGAAAGGTATTTCGTCAAACTAAAGACACAATCTTGTGTTTCTCTATCCCATTAACTATGTCTACTCTAACCGGTTATATTATGGAAATGCACTGGTTTATTATGTGTTGTTTTTCAACTCCTTGCTTTGTTTAAAAAATTTGTCATTGTAAGACATTTGGAGGCTTATTTATCTGCAGTATTTAAGTGCCTTTCAGTTTCACTAGTCCATTAAGGCCATCAATTTGGCTTCTGCCACACGGTCTTGCCTTCCACTTTTTATATCGCCATTCGTCTTCTGTGAAGGCGTGACTTATCGACGACCACAGGATGCTGATTTTGAAAGAAGAGATACAAATCAGAAAGGTAAAGGATTCCTGTGCATTCCCCGAAATTCCTCACAGCCAATAACATACGAGCGAGCTGAGATTTCATCCACCTGACCTGAGGACTGCACCTTCGAGTGAGAAGACACAATCTGTCGAGTCTGAAGTGGCCGTACAGTCCAACGTGCCCATTCAGACAAACCACCAAATCCCCACAATTACGCGGTCAAGGTTGGAAGGGTTCAGGACAAATAACCTCATTCAGTCACTATAATCACCTTTATTTAACATTTTTTATTTACTAAAAATCCTTTTGTGTATCGTAGAAAGGAGAAAACCAAATAGAGTAAAATTTATGGTATCTCAATTTCGGTTTGTTGCAAACATTGTCTAAAGAAGTAACAATAATATCTATTTGTGTATTTACTTATGAAATCATAAATACACCCAGAACAGGTGTTGCCCTGAAACGCATTGAAAGAAGGCCAAAAAATGTCCTCTCCGAAGGGACGCTTGGTCGCCGTGAATGCGTACCTCCTTCTCGCCCTCCTGTTGGCTGTCGTTATAATCAGTGCCGACGCTGCCTCAGTTCCACATTGGTACAGTCGGGTCATCGAAAAGCTAAACACTACGCTTGTTCAAAATGTAAGTTTTGACTGCTTAACATCGACTGAATGACTTTTGAAATGCTCAATCCTGGTGTCTCGGATGTAGAAATGCGCTACTGATTAGGCTAACGTCAACAGTTTTTACAACATCAGAATGCAACAAGCTACCAGGACTTTAGACGCACAGTAATGTCAGACGGCTGTCTCACTTGGCCGATGGCGAAGTGCACAACTAAAAACGCATTTTCAACACCTTACCCCATCCCTTTGCATTAACATTCTCACAGGGTTACTATGCCAAGTGTCTCGTGGACAGTCCTGTCAGTGCCATCGATTGCAAAGGCGTCGCCTACGGTGCAGGGCTGAAAGCTGAGGCGGCAAAAGATAATGCTCGGTACTACGCCTCCGCCACTGGCGACTACCGCTGTGGATACTTTGTCGGGCAATGTATAATTCGCCAATATAGTAAATGAGACATTTTTGTAACTCTGCAATAAAGATTGGAAATTAAGTTGAGGAAAATTAACATCTTGTGCCTTCACCACTGGAATGGCAAATTTTGAGTGGACACTTAATGCAACCAGAGTTCATTTAAGCGGGTAGTAGGTGAAACCGAAATGATTCACTTTACTCACGAGACGGGTGGATCACAAGTACTGCGATTTCGTCTCCCCATACTTTATTTGGGTTGGACTTTGACGCAACGAAACTGTTTCATCATGAATGCGATTTAGACACTAAAATGGGTGTATGTGGGCCAGAGTGTAACTCGTGAAGCAAAAACTGAAACAGTATAGTGCTTTGAAATTTCTCAAAACATTTGCGGATACATACAGAAACCGTGCTTTTAGAAGATGCTTTTATACTTAAGATGAGTTCAAAGTTAAAAGTATGAACTGAAGAACGGTAAATGTAGTGCCGTAAATCGTCTTCCGTGTCATAAAAAACTAAAATGGAACCCCTTACATACGGAGGAGCTGAAAGATGATCAGCATCATCTAAAGGCCACATTGCGGAGTGGAAGCGCAACAAACAGCGGTTGAGGCACCCACACACTTGAACACAGAGCTAGGAAAAATTTAAATCCCTTTCCATAGTAAATCTCTTATGTCTGCAGTTGCAACCCAAACGCTGCTGTTGAAGTGATCCGCAAAAAAAAAGTATTGGACAGCAATTTCAACGTCACAGATGAAGGGCGGCAATTATACCGAGCTGTATTAAAATAGACACGCAGAAAAAGACAGTTTCACATCGATGTGACCAATGTATTTGCGTTCCATTGTTGAGTATCTTTTGATTGCGTAGCAGATATGTCGATGTCAGACGCATAACTCATCTTCTCAAACAGTTCTTCCAACCTCCTATTTATGGCTTAACTTATTCAATACCTACATTCCTCTGTGAAGAACTGGAAAATTTGCCAAGTGGATGAGTTTACCCTTCTTTGTTATGCAAATTTGCGCACCCTTAAATTTGACCAATCAGACACAAGCTAAAGATTGCCCAATTATATAATGGGGATCTGTGCCAATCAGAATTGAATCAGGAGATTGAGAACTTATCCAGCTGTGCCCAAAGGAACTAAAACAAAGTATATTGAGGTAAAGGAGATATGTGTGACCTACAGACGTTGTAACTTGAATGAGAATAAAATGGCTTAAATAGTCGAGATTATTTGGTGGTGATTGCAAAGGAGGTGTCAGATCTGCAATTTATCAATCGAAGTTCTACGATAACGTGGCACCTTAGAAAATCAAGTACGTCAAATCACAAGATCCACTTATTAGTCAAATTGTAGAAGTACGATCACGCCAAGTCGACAGATGGTAATGTATTTGACACAAACATATCAAACTAAAAAAATTACTGAATAAATAATGAAGAATTAATCACAATTTCAAACATGATAATTCTGGAGAAGAAAGGAAAGGAGAGAAGGAAAAATAACCGCTAATAGATAGAGGGAGCAATGAGGAATGAGAAGGCTTTCAACTACAACAGGACGCAACTTCTTTCATGCGATTGAGGGCGCTACCAGCTATGAACCACTCCAATTGTTTGGCATTAAAGGTATGGGCCAGCTCAATTTCCTCAACCGAACCATCTGCGTGAGTTAGACGACATCGTACCGTCTAAAAAGAGTGGGAAATGAATTCAGGTGGATGGGAAGGGGAAAGAAGTATTTGCTGTTATAAGGAACACTCGAATTATCTCTTATTTAGTGATGCGATACATAAATTGGAAGAAATGAAGGATGTAATGAAGGCTGGTGAGAGAAGTAAAGATGAATAGATGGGCATGAGCAAGTAAGAAGATGAAGAGTTGGTGCATGTGATAATGTCTAGCTCATCAAAGAAAATGGTTACTCCAGTTTTCGCACTTACTTGATCGTGACCCTATGGCATTGACACTTTTTGACGGCAAGAGGGACTGAGTGGGCGGACTGAATTCCAGATTATTTATTAACGTACTCACGGGAATGGACCCGTCAAGAAAATTGAAAGTGGAAGCCTTCTGGAGGTTCATGCACTCATGCAGCATTGTACTTGCTGATTGGGATGCTCATCATTCGCATAAGATTACACAATTTTGAGCTTACTGAGATTCATCCTCCATAGAGCGATTGTCCCACAGCCATATTGGTCACGTATGGCAAACTTATGTAACACAAATTAGTGAGTACTCTAAAGTGCCCAAGAATTTAAAATGGAAAAAAAAAAACAAAAACCTTCAGGGTATTAAAATGATGCTATCCCGGAGAGTTTTATAGTTTCCTATTTTGGTGGTAGGACAGCCAAAGGTTGAGAAGAATTTTACCTTTTCTCAAGAAATCATGGGATCAAGAGGACGCAGAACACAGGGAAGAGACCCACATAGATGACTAGAGATGGTTTCCAAAGCCCCAAGATTAAGGAGCTCACCTTTCCAGGAGCGAGACTTTTCAAATCCAACAGAGAAACCTTGTCTGAGGGTTGAATCTTGTCATAGTCCTCGGACTTCACAAAGGTCAGTGGAAGCATGCCCTGCTTTTTTAGATTTGTTTCTACAAGAAGCGATAAAACAATGGTGATTTCGCTGCGTGTCACGAACGGCGAAGGCGGTAAGTCGAACAGATGACTTCGCAAATTGTTAGGAGGAATTGGGGTTGGATTAAACCAAATGACGTAAGAAGACATTTGTGCTATCCATACTCATGTTGATCCGTTCAATTATTAATCCCTTTCAGCCTATAGATTACTTCCCCATTCATCTAGCTTTCCAATAATGGATTCATCGAGGAAATTATCTGAGCCATGAAATCATTTAAAAGTCCATCAAACCCCAGCCTATCCACTTTATTCATCATTCACCATTCAACCCAACCACGAAGTCATCCAAATAGCTCGAATAACCTGAGGAGGATTGGAGCAAAGAAATGTGATGAGAGTACATGCAATGGAAGTGTACTGCAGTGAAGATCTACCAACGCCCTGGACAAATAAAGGAGCTATCAGAGGGAAGGACCGATGATATATTGCAAAAACACATCGATTAGAAGCTTCAAAAGAGCTGGGCTAAGAAGCAGTCCTTACCATGGATACGCGCGAAACTCTTGACAATGATGGCACGACCCCCAAGATGGCGCGGTTCGAGAGCAGCGTGCTCTCGACTACTGCCCTCACCGTAGTTCGCGTCGCCTACCACGACCCAGGGCACTCCTTCAGCCTTGTACCGCCGTGCCACTGCCGGTACCGTGTCCCACTCTCCACTAGGCCAGTGACGAACTCGATTCATCTCTCCATTCTCGCTGTTTACTGCTCTAGAATAAGAAAAGACCATTAATTGATTAATCAATTTGAGGTGTGATTTATTGGTTGAGCGGCTGTACGTCTAGTCGGTCTACTCATCGGTTTATTTGTCAAGTGGTAAGTTATCGATTTATTGACTAAGACTGTTTGGCCAGCAGACCGAATGCGTTAGTTCACTGAAGTTCCCAGATCAGTGTGCGATCTGATTGGCTGAGTTACTGATGGATTAGCTGATTGCGCAACAAAATAGTTGAACCAATGAAAGGTTTCGTGATTGGATAAGTGCTACATGGCCATATGCGTGAAGTCGAAATATATAACATGCTAATGTACCCGATGAACATATTATTCGATATATTGTCCAGATGGCCCCGGAACTTGAGCCAGGCTCCAGCAGCGGAGATGTGGTCGGTGGTGCATTTGCCGCGCACCTTAATGAGTATTGGCATATTGATGAGGTCGTTGCCGTCCCATCGCGCGAAGGGAGAAAGGACCTGGAGACGATCGCTGGTCGGTGAAATCGTCACCTGCACACCCGAGCCATCTGATGGCGGACACTGGAAGTGCGGATCTACGCGCTGGAAACCGTTGCGGGGTAGAGTATCACCTATCAGTTGGAAGTGGAATAATTACTTCGACCTTTCACTATGCCAGTAGTCAAAGCTATCAACCATTAATGCATCAAGCTATTACATTTGACCGTTCACCGAAGCGTGAACGAAATTGTGTGGTGATTCAGAGAATTATGCATATATCCTTGCATTCAACCAGGCGGATGTCCATTAATCTGGAGATTTGACTATACTATCAACTTTTCATTCATCCATCCGACTTAAAGTTCAACTGTTTGACCATAAGTGCACCTGAAGTCTTACATATACCGCTTTGATTATCCTAAACCAAGTTTTATCAACCTCACCTTCTGGAGGTTTCAGTTTGAATTTTTCCCCATTTGGTGCCATCAATTCATCGGTTAGAGGATTGAAGCCCAAATTTCCACCCAGCACCAAGGCAGTGACCATCTCCGGTGAGGCAACAAAGGCGTGGGTTGCTGGGTTAGCATCGTTTCGACCAGTGAAGTTGCGGTTGTACGATGTCACAATGGTGTTTGGTTCACCATGTTTCTTGTCCTAACGCAACATTCAGTTAAAGAATAGATAAAAGGGATACAAAGCGACATACACGTGCTCACATAACAAGCGAGCACTAAGCCCTTGATTAATTTCGAACCCATCCACTGACTAAAAGCCGCATTGGACAGAGGAACATCCTTCAAAAATGTACCCACGCTTTACTCAAACCACTAATGTTCCATCACATTACTTTAAAGCCCTCTTCATTGATATCTAACTTACTTTGCGGTCCCACTGGCCAATGCAAGGTCCACAGGCGTTAGCAAGCACCAGACCTCCAATTCCTCTGAAAGTATCAGCCAACCCGTCTCGTTCAATCGTCGCATGGATCTGCTCGCTACCTGGAGTTACAGTGAATTTTGTCGCCACATTAGTGATACCATGATCCAACGCTTGTCGCGCCACGCTAGCAGCACGAGCCATATCCTCATAGGAGGAGTTGGTGCAGGAGCCTATTAGGCCCACCGAGATCTCCATTGGCCAACCCGCTGCTTCAGCGTCCGATTTCAGCTAACAGGAAGGAGTGATTATGCAGAGATAGATTTACAAATGAAGGACTTAACCATCCAACCTGTTTAGGATTTGACGCACAGTTTGGTGCCACTAAATTTTGCAAATTATCATCTAGCACTCAAAAGCATTTGAGGGTACATTAACCCTATGGCGATCTCAAGAACAACTTCAGCATTACTGTGTGAACAACAGTGGGCGCCAACTTTGTCGCATGGCATCGCATCAATGCATACAGATCTCCGAACAGTCGATGCTTAAACAATAAACATTATCCACTGCTGATATGCCCATTCCTTCCAAAAAGCAGAAAAACACCTTTCCCGAGCCGACACATAACAATGCGAACGCTTTAAACTTCCATTCATTCATCCTAGAGTTATGGAACACAGCTGATGAGTTCCAAGATCGTTCATGCCTTGAAAAAAAAGAACTTTTGGTTCGCGCAACTACTCTGGGTTAGAAGCGTAAGTGACCTTTACTTATTGCAAACAAGATGAGGTCACATGGATTAAAGAAAACAGTGAAAATAGAAATGAGCACACTTAAACTACACCCAAGTGGTGTGAGCACGAAACCCTTGAGTTCCAGGCAAGCTGTCCAAGTCCTGAAAAAAAGGAAACCTACTCCAATGCAACTTAAGTAGTTTGCGAGCGTTGATTAAAAAACTTCATTGAAAGCTTGGTCAGTCACTCTAAGCTAGAGAGCTTCCAACCCCGATGTGGCCGTCGCCCCACGCCTATTACCGATCACCCTGAGCGTAGCTGAGATCCATCGCGGGCGAAGTGTGACAGTGAAGTTCGTCACAAGAAGAAAACTTCGCGCTTAAATCGTCGACTGTTCATTGGTTAACCACACTTACACTCCACCAAACGCTCCTCCAGCCTGCGTCTTAATGAGTCGACTAGTTTCAGGAAACTCTCATAACGAGTGAGCGTAGCAATTTCCAAAGTTGCCTACTTTGGGCTTGCAATGAGGACGCAGCGTCACGAGATGATAACCCACTAACCCATTGGCCTGCACTTCTCATAAGAAACTTGGGCTACTCACATTAGCACGGTGGAAAAAGGTTCTTTTAAGTAACTTTTATGGACAATATGAAAATGAGAAGCCTACCAGAGCAGCAAATCTAGTACTTTAATGTTCAAAGGCAAAACTTGTCATCAATTTTCCTTTACGTCGAGAACTGATATAAGACTGTTAGAAAGTATTTGAATCAAAATGCACATAAATGAACGGTGGCATACCCTCGAAATAGGATGAGCCAAATCGGGAGTATAGGGTCCGTTCAGATGAGGCTCCAGCTCATTCAAATCAATTTTGATGACACGGTCATAGACACATCCTTTATCGGGCGAGAGCAACTTGCTCTAGATAGAAATGAAGGCTATAAGGACTAGCAAATTGCATAAATTGGACCTATGCTGACTTTATACGCTACACATTCACATTCCATTGTTCACGCATCCACACTTTCATCTATGCTACTTCTCTCTTCCTTCAATCTGCTCCTTCCACACCACTTCATCCATCAATCCGCCTAAAACCCAACCAATTAAGAGGGTCTAACAGAGACGAAGACTTGACGAAAAAGGGAGCCGAAAGCTACGCTATTATCTCTAGTCAATTTAATTCGCAAGGCCAACTAGTGTAATTATATGATTTATCAAACCATCTACTTCCAACTTTTAACAGTCTCGTGTTGTGGTATATGCCTTAATGATTCCGTAAACGTGAACAATTAAACAATTTAATAAATGATCCCAGGACAGCGTTCTTTCGTTGTAAAAAACGAGAATTCTTGGCATTCACACTTGAAGCCTAAAAACTTTGATGACGCTTTATTCTAAGTCAGACAATGTGGACTCGACGTCTACCGTAACCTTATCGTTCGTGTCCAAGCGGAGCCAGTTACAGTGTCAAGTTCTACTAACAGAAGTTTCAAACACTTTGGGCGGGCGTACGCAGAGTAAAAATGCCGACTTTTTGCACTTATAATAATATAAAGAAATAAGGCGGTGGAATATTACATTCAGATAGCCTGCCTATATTCCGAGTACGAATAAAATTAGGCTAACATAATACTCCATAGCCACATGAAGACTTCAAGGTTGAGTCCGAAATTTAGCTAAGTGATTTAAAGAGGACGTAATGCTGGCAAGGCTTCAAGCGGCAGTGACAAAGCAGTCCTATTGCAAGCAATAAGTGTAGAACTAGAAGTGAAGAGGCATGCGGCGACAAATGGGTGAAGGTTCGCAAAGGGAGGCCCAAAATTTGCAGGCGTTAATAGAATACTTTAAGGAGATCGAGTTGAGGAGCTTAGTTGCACAACGGAAAGGCACGTAAGTTGCACAAAGTACCCTTTTCAAAGTCCATCAGCTTTAGTCTGACAGTGATTCGTGATTAATCTGGGGCTTCTGCAATCATTCTGGTCAAAGTTAATTCATGCTAGCATCAGTAATAAACGGACAGCCAGAGAATGTCAGAGTTAAAATAACCATGCTTCCAATGCTGACATTGTATCTCAGGGGTCAAAAAGTTAGCACATTAATGTACTAGAAACATGGTGGAGGAAATAACAACGTTTCTAGCATTCGAGACCCACTCCCTCCGATTCAGTGGATTTCATAGATCTTAGTTACTCAAAAAAGTTTGTATCTCACGACAGCCTCAATAACTTTAAGAACGTACATAAAAAATTGGCCCAATGAAAATATCAACACGTAAATCGAATGTACGATTGTGCAACCCACCTTGTACTTGCTTGCTAGGTCAGCAATATTACCTCTCCCAGTAGCCCTCAAAAAATCCACCATTCTATCATTGAAAGGAAACACGGAAGTCGTAGCACCAATCTCTGCGCCCATGTTACAGATTGTCGCCATGCCTGTACACGATATGGACTCCACTCCCGGTCCAAAGTACTCAACAATAGCTCCAGTGCCGCCTTTTACGGTTAGAATATCCGCCACCTTGAGAATCACATCTTTGGGCGACGTCCAACCCGACAACTTGCCGACCAGCTCGACTCCAATGATCTTGGGACACTTTAGCTCCCAATCCAGACCTGCCATCACGTCAACAGCGTCGGATCCACCCACTCCAACGCATAAACCACCCAGACCACCACCATTTGGTGTGTGACTATCAGTTCCAATTATGAGGGCTCCAGGGAAGCAGTAGTTTTCTAACATTATCTATGAAATAGAAGTTAAGACAAGAATTTGGCTTACCTGGTGGATAATACCAGAACCTGGAAGCCAAAATCCGATATTGAACTTGGCAGAGGCGGAGGAGAGGAAATCGTAGATTTCTTTGTTGGAAGCAACAGCGTCGGAAATATCCTTGTCACCACCTCTTCGAGCGACAACTAGGTGATCGCAATGAATGGTGGTAGGTACAGCAACACGCGATATACCACTGGACATGAATTGCAGAATGGCCATTTGTGCCGTTGCGTCTTGCATTGCAACACGATCTGGAGAGAGATTCAAATAACTTAATCCGCGGACTATATCTTTCGCTTTTGGATCTGACAAATGGCTGTAAAGAACCTTCTCAGAAAACGTCAGTGGACGCGCCAATCTACGAGATTAACACATGTTAAGATGAATAGCTTACGTTTCATTTACATGTTTTAACGCAAAACAGTATTTGTCATAGTCCAGAATCTCGCAATCGAAACGGCTTAGGCAGACGGACATGGAACGTATTTGTCTAATTATCGATGACGGTCTCAAATACCGAAAATAGTGAAGAGGGAAAGCGTGCAATGCCGCATCAATAGAGAACATCTCAGTACATTACAGAAATCCGATGAATACTAATTGGCGCCAATGTTAGAGGTCTGTTGTTAGTTAATGTGAACACAAAACAAGAAAATGTTACACTAAAGATAGGCTAACGATATTTAAGGTCTCCTTATCTCTGTGAACGATTGACGAACATATGCTAGACCACATATCGATTTTCATGAATATGGAGTTAATTTGTATCATTACTGGTTGATGTTACGCTGACTATTAATGCTTGATGCATTTTTTCGGATACTTGCTATAGCAATCTGCCGTTCTAATACGCAGAATGTATTGTAATATATATTAGAGTGTTTGGGTTTACCTATACAGAAGAGAGATGGAAATAAAAATAATTGGAATGCGAATTCAGTGCGTGAGGACAGTGAGGAACCCTTCCCCGAGTGATATCTGCTATACAGCGGATTTGTACTCTATCTTCACTCTTTCTACGTTGAATGTCTAATAACTTTACTGCAACTAGCTCACTCTTTAAGTCCGTGTTTCATGGACAGGAGAGGGGCCGATTGTTCCTACAATTGGAACCTTGGTTCCCTCAGGCCAACTCCGTAGCATCCCGAGACCTCCTGGCCGGTATAGGAAGTCAGTAAGTGCAGCCGGGTAAGTGCATTCTGAAGACTGCAGGACAAATGTCCTGGGCATGGTCCGAAGGCTAGTCCACGTGTGCAAGTGCTAGATAAATCCTAAGGTGACCGCCAAACATCATATGGTCAAGTAAACAAAGTATTCCAACCGTTCAAAGAGAATGTGAAAGTACGATAAAGAGTTCGACATTCACGTAGGCAGTCAAATAACCATAGCTGCAATACCTTGTTTATTCGACTGCCTGTATGGCTGGTGGTAAGTTTGGTATCTCCTCTGTTCATATTAGCTTGATAGACCTTTGAGCCAAGCCAAAAATTAAGCTTTTTAATTTCTATCCGAATACAGGTATCTAGCTGTAACTTACGCCTTCTATCATCAAATGGAAAACCTCGGGACTTTATACTAATGGCATCGAAAAGTGAACCAAATTTATTGCGATATCCAGTTTGATTTTTGTCGTTTCTGACAAAGTTATGCAAAGCAAATCTCCTTCTTTTAAAACGGAAAAGCTATAAACAGAGTCTGACATTGTAAACTGTCTCGTGTTTCATAATTTAGCCATTAGTGTTTGAAGTCATGCTATTTCCACGGTTCCTTTTTAACATATCCTGCAGCTTCCTCAACCCTTCCGTTGGGTGACTGGAGCCTTTAAGTCGAGCTGAATGCGTTTATTACGGCGAAGAAGAATAATATTCATTGACATGCAAAAACCACCAGAGTTAAGGCAAATACAATTTGTACAGGTGGTCACAAATATCAAACTCCTCTTCTTATGTTTGCATATAGACGTTGGCGGGCTATCACGAATGGAAGATATTCAGCTCCCTTTTTCCCGTAATTACCCATACATTTGACCCTGGACAAAATTTTTATCCCATTACAGTTAAAATTGGCTCAACCGGCTCTTGGGTGCTCCTTCGCAGTCCCCGAAATGTCGTAGTGGCTGATGCTGGAGGTGTGACGAGGACTGCTTCGAGGTTATTGCTCAAAAGGAGAAAGAGACCATGCATGCTGTAATATATGCTAGTTTGCTTAAGTGGACTTTTATAGGAGAGAGGAGGGAACTGATTGGGAACGCGAACCACGTGCGCAAAGATTATGATCTGTCCATCTTCAGTTAATACCTCCTTTTTGGCTCATCTGCATCCCAATTTCCATTCTTCCTGTAACAAAAGCCAGGTAACTCATCTGCAACCAACCCTCTCCTGAAGTCCGAGGTTCAAGGGCAGGAGGGTAGACAGGAATCTCTTACACACGTAATACCTTGTTTATGCAAGGAAGCTCAGGCTAGGCTACATGTATTTAGCTTCACTTTATGATTGCTTCTTCCCAGTGAGAAGTTTCGAGGGTAAGAATGCAAATTTCTGCTCACTTGCTACTTTTATAAATTGCAGTTGCTTTACTATACATTCAACCCTTGTCTCCGTAGGATGACTATTGAGCGTTCTTACACCACAGTGATGCAGTTTACCTTTGTTAAATACCCTTGGATTTCAAGGGGTTTCCACAAATTGGAGGTCATTGAAATCAGTGGTCATCTTATTTGGACGAGCCAGTGTAGATGGTACAATTGCGAAAATTATATAGTTTTTTTTAAAAAATCGCAAAAAATCAAAGTGCATAATTTGCATAAATGGACTTCTAATATCGTGATGCTGCTATATCTTTCTTTATATCAATTGTTCACTCGCAGTGCATGAATCGAAGGTCGAGCGGATCACTTTAATCTCGATCCTTGGTGAGTTTGGCTGTTGTTGTTGTTCGGACTGGTGTTGTAATATCCCGCCTTTGAGCGAAATTGCTTCTATTATTTGTGTGTGTTTTCCGTCATTTTATTTGACGATCTGTTGTATGGAGTAGTGATTGTGCCGTTGACTTGTCGGTTAAGGATAAGGGCATTTTTATAAGCAGTGAGGCGCAGCTTCGGTTGAACCGAAGTCCGTGGTATTTATTAAGATACATCACTTTAAATAGGGGGTCGTACCAAATTATCGAGTCCTTTTGCCTTGGCTTTGGCTTTGCATATCGTATTGCAATATCACAACGTCGTTAACGCCGCTAATATAATTCGGAACCATTTTCTGATCCTCGCTACACTGTTGGTCTCGTAAGCCACTCACATTAGCATTTTTACTAAAGCGAATTTTGGCTTTTTCATATTATTTTTGTGCTTTGTCGTAACCATAGTGTGTAACTGGCTATTTTTATATGCAAAAGATAACAGACTCTCCTTGACAAATTTTTACTCGGAAAATTTTATGCGGTTTTCTATTCCTATGATTTGGCCCTTTGCTTGATGCTAATACGGGATTTGCTGCTCTTGCAGAACACCGCTCGTTTTCTCCTTTCTTTGCGTTCGTCTTCTATACTTCTTTCCAATATGACATTTTAATCTATTCCAGGTACATAAATCTCAGCATCGCATGTAAGAAACTGGTGGATAAACTCAAGTTAATTTTCTTCTCGCACACCTACCCCAAAGGGAGTGCTCTTCTCTCACTTTGTACTGTTATTACTGTCTTACTGCCTCTATCGCCTGGAGCCACTGTTAGAGCACCAAACTTTAGACGCTTTAGAAACGCTATATCTCGAGTGCGCTTTTAAGGTCCTGCATCGCAATCTGTAACTTATCAGAGCTAGGTAGCCGATTCTTTTTGCACATTTTGATTGCTGAGGTTCGATGGCCCTTAATTTGGGGGAATTTAGTGTTTACTTGTCAATGTGGGCAAGAATACTCTATTTTCACCTGATATTCTCGTCTTAGAATGTGGCAGAACTGAATTCAGGTCATGGAAAAAATAAATTGGTAGTGCTGTGTAGTCGTAGTACTGAGGCTAAAAGGCAGCTTTTTATGCAAATTTTGGATAATGTGTGCAAATGTGTGGAATGCATACGAATGAAAGATTAGACGATGCATCGTCTTTTGGTACTTTTGAATGACTTTCATATGATAACTCACTTAAATTTGTTTAGAAATGAAAATGTAACCACATACATTTCTAGTTGCGCATGTATGGAGCCGACAGTCTTGGTAGTTATCTCTGTAATTAGCCACGTTGCAATAGTGTCACTATCTTCTGCTGGGCGTGTATACCTGCGTCACGTGGAGGTGTGAATGTAGCCAAACGTTAAACCAAAGTAGAGAAATGAATGGGTAAATGGATAGAAGAAGCATCTGCATAGGAAGACGATGTACTGATTGGAGTGTTTGTTTCTTCCGTCACTTTGGGACCTCATGCGTCTTTACCCAATGCTTCATTATAATGCGTTAATTCTAGGTAGGACATTTTGATTCCCGATATTTTCATCTTCGCTAGTTTTTTCACCTTATCGGTATAATGTTCTGAGAAATTTCCTTGTAATTTACTTTTGTCTCCTCCAGTTTTTGATTACTTAAAAATGAGACATACTTCTCCTTGTTCATCTTGAATTTCTGCGCCTCGTCACTGGGTGGCATCGTATTTGAATGAAGGAAAAGTAGTGAAGTTATTGGTGAAATTACTCCTTTTGATGGTTGAGTCACGCCACCACCATTGCTTTCTGAGGCGATTGATTGGAAGTGCTTGTTGTTTCCTTGACACTGTGACTGCTTTCATTTTGTTGTCGAGTCAGAACTTTTAGTAACTACTGTAACTTGCATGTGTGCAGTAGTTTGCCACACTGCTTCGTCTCATTTAAAACCTTGTTAGTGCATGTTATCAAACTTTTCATTGCACAGTTTTTTTCAGTCTTTGACTTAGAGACTTTCTTCTAATGAGAGTTAACTTTTAACGCTTCCGAAGCGCAAATTCAATGGTCGATCACAAGTTTGATAGAGGTGAAGTAGCAACTCTTCCAAGTAACTAAAATGGAACCTTTTGTGGTAAAACAAATTGGCGCTTTTTAGATAAACTGTACTTTAGGTGTGAGCACAGTACTTGAGTAACTGTCAAAATGTCAGGAATCACAGGTCTGAGTGGTCGATGAGTGACGCGTTCGTGTGGCTATGGATGCATTTGAAGAGCAAGAGTTGTCTAAGATCCTTATTAAGTCAACTTATTTGACGAACTGACAAAATTAAAGTGGCTTGACAGTCCCCTCCATTTTCCCTCGTCTAGTTTGCAACATCGATTCACAACCAAAAAGACAATGGCTAGAGTAGGCTGGAATTTTGGTGAAGAATTTGCTGCGGCACCTGCATTTGCGCCAATGGGTTCTGCGTGGTCTGGCGCACCATCGGAATCAGTGCCAGCGTCGGATGGTCAAGCCAGAATTGGATTCGTCTTTGACGAGGTAGCTGGATCCCCACGCTCCCCAGAGTCACCGACAGAGACTCCTGCTGAAGGTAGCCAAAGTAGTAACGGCATCCCAAATTCAAATCTCCTCCATCCTTCGGATACAACTGCGCATCGCGCATTCTCCTTCAATGCCCCGAAACGTCCGCCTCCACCACGACTCCATGACTTTTCCTCGGCATCCTATGATGTGCCGGAGAGAGAGAAGCCGAATTTGTCAGAAAGGTCGAAATCGCTTGCACAGTCGAGATGTGAGTTGGGTCGCCTAGCTATGTTATCTTTGCCGTAGAAAAGACTTCTAGCCTCTCGTAGCTTGGGTATAGGCTTAACACTAGGTAAAACAGGAAATTTTCAGGCTAAAGGATGATTTGAGTTGGAGATGTGGACAAATTGAAGATGCCTGACTCATGCGTAGTACTAATCAAGCCAAGTAGATAATTCGCTACCCCTCCTGGCGGCAATGGCAGAACCACCCACTCATGCTTGTCGTGCCATCGACTCGCCAAACTCATGCATTTGTTTGAAGTCCCCATTTACATGCACGTGCACACCCGTTTGTGCGATTTCACGCGCGCAACTACCGAACTGTCTACGGCGATCGTTGAAAGCCAAGGTGGGTACAACATGACACGCTGTTTCTCATTGGCAGGCGGGAATGATCCGCTCTACGCTTCTATCACTGCGGATGCGAAATTGCCAATGCCGATCGTATATCCCAGTCCAGGTAGTCGTCAAATGCCTTCGAGCAGCGAGGCATCATGCCTACCACCGTGTGACAGGTGCTCTCTACTAGCTTCTTAACACACGTCGCGAATAGATCGAGTTTTACGTGGTGAGGCATGCGGATGTCCCACATCCCTCATTCACGCTTAGTCACGACTAAAGTAGCTGCGATTACCAAATCAGGAAACCTTTAGAACGGAAAGCGGCGGTGGTGGTGGTTGGTCCTCCGCTCACTTTTATTGACAGTGACCGCCCAGCAAACCGTCGGTTGACTTGACGGTCTTTTGCGCACTGGGTGGAGTAGCTTCACTTGGGATTTGTGTTTATCTTTTTGGCTCCGGGAAAAGGTCATAACAGAAAGGTCATGTCAAAAAACAGACTAAGCTTGTGAGCAATGGTAGCGACAGAAAGGCTTCTACGTGGGTTTTGCCATTCTCTCACCTGGCCTACTTGAAACAATTTTTTGACAGCCACTTTCGTCGAATGCTACCTTATCTCGCAGTAAAGTTCAACTCTACTTTGCTACCTATTTGCCCGATTTCAGGCTCACTTTTTTCCACTTCTGTCTTTTAGCCTCCAGTCGAAATTCCGAAGCCTACCAACAGGGGCTTGCGGATATGGCGGACCTAATGACTACAGTGGACCTATCAGAGGCGGAGAAACAGAAGATCCGTGACCGATTCGCCCTAGACAAATGACCTATTTATTTATCCCCTTCCTTCAGCTTTATCCCTCCCCAGATTTCTCCCTTTCGTCCCCCCTTTCCCTCCCTTGGCTGCCCCATCCTGCTCTTCACCCACTTAAACTCCGTGTATTTTAGAAAAGATTTTTTTTTCATAATGCATGGCTTGACTAGGTCATCACATATTTTGATGAAGTCGGTTTTTGCTTTTTATTTGAAGGGGGGTATGCGGTTACGTACTTTTTCGTTTGCGTAGGCGTTTATTGGTGTGACGGTGCCGAAGTGTAGCCGACGGGGCATTATTTACCTACACCTTAATTTAGAAGCTGGGAGGGTGATTCCTTTTTAAATTTGTGGGGGTATACCTCGGGGAGTAAAAAAAAAACGCATTTTTGGCTTTGCGGACGTCTTTTTAGTAGGTAAAGTTAGCTGAGTGCTCTCGAGTGGAGCTGTGGATGTTTTTGCGCCACAGAATTACCACTACGTGGATGCGTTGCAACCAGATAAGCACTCTGCTATTTTTAAGGGCACTCTAAGGTCGGTTAATACTGTTGGAGTCGGTGGTTCGATTAATTTCAGCATTATTTCCAGGTTTTTTGATACAATTATCAGTAGTTTTAGGGGGCAAATCGACCTTATCGGTGTCGCAGCGTGTCATTTTCCAAAGGAGTTACCTACAGATAACCAAATTATGACACTTCTTTGGACTGTTTATGCCACTTAAATCGCCAAATTGGTAAAACGTCTTAACGATGCCGACCCCTCTTCACACTCTCCTTACGCACATCACCTACAGGAGTTCAAAGCCAGACAAAATAGATTGCTTGCACAATTTTGTGTCAGGTTACTTATCTTTTCCCTCAAAAAAGAGAATAAAATCAGTGAAATCGGTGCTGGATGCAACCACAGAGAGTGTGATGAAAGGCAGCTGAAATGGTGAGTTGATGTGGTGACTGTGTGAATTGCTAGGTCCACTAGCGGATGCCCAAATGTTTTTTTTATGGATTAAAAATTGAGTGGAGACCTTGAAGGTTGAATGAGGACCAGGGCTTTCGGTGGCCTGAAATTCATGCATGTTGACCTCATCTGCTAGGCTGTGACCTTAGTGAGCACCTTGTAAAAGGCACATGCAACTGAATGAGCGACCGCATGAGTGAATGAAAAATCGTAACGTCGTAAAGTGGCATAACAGGAACGAGGGGGTGCTGCCAACTCCCAGCTTATTGTGATCCCAGAAGATGAAGCCTCTCCAAATGGGGAGTTTTCATAGGCTCTCTTGGGGCCTCGGCTTTTGGAGTTGCATTTATTATGCATTTTTATCAATCCAAAGAATTTTGCTGGCAAAGAGCGCGTAGCCGGATGGATGGGGGTGGGGAAAAGGGGCATCTAAGCAACAGTGGGGATGTGTAAATTTTCAAAAAATGCCAAGGCTAGCGAGCCTAAACAAACACTGTCCACTTTCAAAATCAGACCCATCTAAACCCACATCTTAGGACGCCTCCCAAAGCTAGGAGTACCTTTATTAGGTTTACCAAGTTTTGAACTCGATATGCACTTTATTGTGGTGGTTACTCCTTCAATGCTGGGAAAACTGTTCATCAATTCATTCCAGTCTCTACCAGTGCAATTAGGGTCCAAATTTACAACAGCGAAAACTTTAAGACTGGCAGTCCTACCTCACCTCTCTCCCGCCCACGGTGAACCGCCACGAAGGTTACTTTTCAGCACAATCTACCCTGTGAACTCGACAAAGCTGTGCTCTGGATGAAAATCGCACCAGCACCACCACCCACTCATGCCTGCTGTCAAGTCATCAACTCGCCTTTCCCTCCCTCATGCAATCCATGTCAATCCGAAGACTGCGTGGGAGTTGATGCACGCTTTCTGCTGCTAAACGCTTTTCTTTTTTACCATGCTTCCAAAAGCTCCTCTCTATAGACTGAAAAACTCACTAATCAGCCATAAACTGGGTGAATTCCATAGAATTATTTTAATGTATGAGGTGGTGCGGGGCGTCGTCTCCCACACTTCTCACACCCGCCTGT